TGGATATTGGAATACACCTCCCTGACGATCTAATCAACAATCTTCGACTCATACCCGAGATCGCCAAAACACCCGAGGCTACGCACTCTACCCGGCCGGGCGGGAGTGCTCGCAGGCGGCGTCGAGACCGTAAACAAAGGCGGGGGAAGCGCGGAGGTATAAGAGCTAAGCTAAAGCTAACACCGCACCGTCTCCCGTTACCCAGCATTTTCCTCGCTAATGTGCGGTCTTTGGTGAACAAAATGGACGAGTTACGACTTCGCATCATCCACAGCAAGAGACTTATGGACTGTAATGTCATGATCTTCACGGAAACATGGCTAAACAACGGAGTACCGGACGATGCTATCAAGCTAGCCGGTCGCCACACACTCCGGGCAGACAGAACAGCAGAGGACTCCGGTAAGACCAGAGGAGGAGGGCTGTGCATCTATATTAACAAAGCTTGGTGTACAGACTCTATCATTATTGGGAGACACTGCTCAGCTAACATTGAGTTTCTCATGGTTAAATGTAGACCTTTCTATCAGCCAAGGGAGCTCAGCTCCACTATTGTAACTGTAGCCTACATCCCCCCTGATGCCGATGCAAAAGCTGCTATGAAGGAACTTTACACCGCTATCAGTAAACAACAGACTGCTCACCCGGAGGCTGCATTTATAGTTGCAGGTGATTTTAATCACTCAAACTTAAAGACAGTGCTCCCTAAATTTCACCAGCATGTTTCCTGCAATACAAGAGGAAACAAAACTCTGGACCATGTTTACACAAACATCGCAGGAGCCTACACCACGACCCCCCTCCCCCACCTGGGACAGTCAGACCATCTTTCTTTGTTCCTCATCCCCAAGTACTCCCCACTCATCCAACATGTGAAGCCATCAGTAACAACGATTAAAGTGTGGCCAGCGGGGATAGACTCTGTACTTCAGGACAAGTTCCATCACACAGACTGGAGTATGTTTGCTTCTCAGGCTACCTTGGGCTCTCACACAGACATTGACACCTACACTTCTTCTGTGCTGGACTATATCAATACCACCATCGACAGTGTTACAACATGGTAGCAGATCACCACGTACCCAAATCAGAAGCCATGGATGAACAAGGAGGTGCGTCTCCTGCTGAAGGCCCGCAACACCGCCTTCAGATCAGATGATGCAATGGCCTACAGCGTATCCAGGGCAAACCTGAGGAGGGGCATCATCAAGGCCAAGCACTGCTACAAGCTGAAGGTAGAGGAACACTTCTCCAACTCCGACCCCAGACGCATGTGGCAGGGCATCCAGGCCATCAGTGACTATAAACCCAGAAACTCCACCCCGATAACCACAGATGTCTCCTTCCTGAACGAGCTAAATCACTTTTATGCTCGTTTCGATAGAGACAACAGGGAGACGCAGACCACGACCAGACCTCCTGCAGACAACCAGCCCCTCTCACTCACCTCCACAGACGTCCACGCTGCACTGAGCCAGATCAACGCTCGAAAGGCTGCTGGTCCAGACAGCACCTCCGGGCGCGTGCTTAGAGCATGTGCGGAGCAGCTCACTGGGGTTTTTACGGACATCTTCAACCTGTCCCTTGCCCAAGCAGCTGTGCCAGCATGCTTCAAAGCCACCTCCATTGTCCCAGTGCAGAAACACTCCAGCCCGACAGGCCTGAATGACTACCGCCCTGTAGCACTCACACCCATCATAATGAAGTGCTTTGAGCGACTGGTCCTAGCACACCTGAGAAACTGCCTCCCACCCACACTGGACCCATACCAGTTTGCCTACCGCAGCAATAGGAGTACAGAGGATGCAGTTTCCACTGCGCTGCACTCTGTGCTCACACATCTGGACAATAACAACACATACGCACGAATGCTGTTTGTCGATTTTAGCTCAGCATTCAACTCTGTCATCCCCTCCAAGTTAAACACTAAACTCGGAGACCTGGGCTTCAACACCTCCCTCCGTCACTGGATAATGGACTTTCTGACCAACAGACCCCAGTATGTTAGGTCAGGACACACCTGCTCCACCACCATCACACTCAACACAGGCGTACCACAGGGCTGTGTGCTGAGCCCATTCCTCTACTCCCTCTTCACCCACGACTGCAGACCTGTACATGGATCCAACACCATCATCAAGTTTGCGGACGATACGGCGGTGATTGGCCTCATCAGCAACAACGATGACACAGCCTACAGGGAGGAGGTACAGCATCTGGCCGCCTGGTGTGCTGACAACAACCTGCTCCTCAACACCAGCAAGACGAAGGAGATCATCGTGGACTTCAGGAGAGAAAGAGGAAGCACGCACAACCCCATTCACATCAACGGGATGGCTGTTGAAAGTGTCTCCAGCTTCAAGTTCCTGGGGACCCACATCACAGAGGACTTCTCCTGGTCCACTAACACCTCCAGTCTGGTTAAGAAGGCTCATCAACGCCTCTTTTTCCTGAGGACACTGAAGAGACACCACCTGTCTTCAGCTGTACTGATGAACTTCTACCGCTATGTGATCAAGAGCATATTATTAGTATAGCATGCTCACTGCACCTTAATCTGTATATTATAATCCTAAGAATACACTTATATTTATAGCATTTATTTATATTTATAGCATCCCATTAATCCAGCCATCCAGATATACCTAATAATTCACTTTTTTTAGTCTACATCTGTAAATTTCGTAATTTATGTACATAGCACAGACTCTTGCACTTTCTGATTATTTGCACTTCTGGTGAGATGCCAAACCTCATTTCGTTACTCTACACTTGTATATGTGTAATGACAATAAAGTTGAATCTCATCTCATCTCATGTATTCTCATCTTTGACCAAGATTATACAGTTAGCTGCTAATATATAACCAGTGAGCCAAAACAAACCTGTGCTCCAACAGGCAAAATATATATAAAGTATTTACAAATACTCTAGCAAAAGATAAAACATATATTCTCAACACTTTCACTCACATGCGCTAGACGCACTTCACATCAGATGACAATTGGGAAGGATTAACATCCAGGAGAACTTCACAACGTTTTGAGTGTCTGGTCAGAGTCCTTTCAAAAGTGAAAGCTAGAGAGGAAAAACACTGGCAAAGACGTCCACCACAGGGCGTCTTTTTCACAATATCCATGTCTGTGTAGAAAATACTTCAACACATCTTGCAAACTTATGCAAATCTATTTATGTTAGTTCTGACATGTTTTTTTTTTCTCTTTGTCTTTCTTAAAACAATCAAATAAAAAGTATTAAAAATAATGAAATACATTGAATTTATAAAAAAAATCTCATACATTTGTTTTTCAAAGATGTTCCCCTTCTTCCCAAAACGTCTCGCAGGCCGAATGAAACCTGCTGTCAGGCCGGATTCGCCTGCGGGCCTTGATTTTGATACCTGTGTGATAGATGGTTTAAGATTGGGGTGTGAGAAAGATGAGCGTGAGCTTTGTAGAAGAGCGCTGACAGGACATTCTGGGGTATGAGAGGGAGGTTCTGTAAGATTCAACATTACAGTTTGGAGTCATGACCTCCCCAGTACCTTGATTCAACTGCTGAATGCTGCAAAGTTAACATGGTAGCTATAGAAACCAGTTCCTCTGAAAAGTAAAGCTATGTCGACTATGATGGACAGATAGTCATCCAGCTCAGACCTTCGTGAAGGAAAGGCTGAATAAATAGTGCATCTACATTGAAAAAGCTAGAGTGAACTCTGCTGAAGTTTTGTCTGAAAGACTGAAGGAAAAGTAGAGGAAACTATAATGGGATGGAAGGATGTATGTGCACAGAAATTTTGTAAAGCCTGCGAACTCCGGGGTATATAGCTGTGATAGATTGAGAGAGATATGAGATGTCAGATACAGAAGGAGCAGGCACGGGGGGTGATAAGCTTTGTCCCCTACAAGGGTAGCTGCCTCTGGACAAAAATGTTCGAGTTGTGGTACTGGAGTTTGGAATCCATGATGAACATTACAATTTTACTGAACTGAGACAAGCAGGGAGAAATGGGATGGCTTGAATAAAAAGGCTTGTCAGGTGATTAAACGTAATATACATACTCTCCATATGAATTTAACAACCCGCTCCAAATGTAACATGTTTGTTGAGGAGAAAATTATTTCAGAACACAGTGCAGTAACAGGGAAACATTACTTTTGAGTCAGCACTGCCAGCTCCTTCACATCTGGTTTGATCTGCTGTCTGTTGAGAGATCTATTGCTGTTCTTGTTTTAAAATTTTTATAGTTCTTTATGACTGGGAGGAGTTACATGGAAAATGTAAACCTGGCAGGACTCTCACCTGTGCAAAGAACTCTGTTGTTATAATTCACTTAGCAGACGCTTTTATCCAAAGTAAGTACTAATCCATTCATACACAACCACTGAAGCAGAAGGAGCAATGCAGGGTTGAGTGTCTTGCCCAAGGACACATCAGACATGTTGCTCAGCTGGGGATTGAACCCTTGACCTTCCGGTTGAGAGGCGACTGAGCTACAGCCGCCACATGTTCGGAACTGATATGACCTTTTCATACTTCTTCAATACTATCCCCCAGCTCTCATATTGTTGAGAAAGGAGATGTTCGGTCATTAAAGCAAGACAAACTCCTTTTTTATAATGGGCTTACACTGTAAAAAAAAAAAAGTTTGAATTTTGAGTGTTGAACTCAAAACACTTTTTACAAAAATGTCTATTCATCAAAAAAAAAAACTTGCGGGTGAGACGTTCTTCAGACATTCACCATTTAAATCACTTAAGTCTTCATTTATCAATTTATATTATACTTTACAGTTGTGTATTTTGCTATAGTTTATTTTTGCTTTGGTAACATTGCAGCAATTACAGTCATGTGTTTGTTTGTGTTAGCATTAAGTTAACGTTCACATCAAAGTATTAATTCATTACAGACAGTTAATATTTATTAGCGAACACACAGTCTTGGGTAAGTTTAGTCATTTTTATTTACTTAAAATATAACTGTCTCTTATCCATACTTACCTTTCTTTGTTCTTTTGTTCAGTTCCCCATGTGGTCCCATGCAGCTAAAAAGGTCTGGCTTAGCACTTCCTGGGTATTTATAAGATTGATGATGTCATCGCTGACATCACTGGGGCAGACCAACTGAAGGGGTTTTATTTCTGAGAAATGTTTTCTTTCAAATCATTTCTTTCACATTTAAGTTACTGGTAGAATATCATGTCATTATTTAAAGTTCATTTAGTTGAGTAAATGATCTGAGGTTAATTTAAGTTTTTTTTTAATTTCTTTGTTTTTGAAAGAAAAGTGTAAACCTGCTATTTAAATTGTGCTGCACCCAGCTGCGGTTGTTTTGTTAATGGGGACGTCTATAAAGCCAGGAGGCATTTGGTCTTGCAGGAGGAGAAGTGAGGACGTGCTGTAGTGATGGCGAAATGAGGTTTTGTGAAGCAATGAGCCTTTCCAGCCAATTGTATCGCAAATAGATTAATTACTCGAGGCCTCATTTAACACAGTGGAAGACATCTAGTGGTCAATAAAATAAATTGCAATCAATTCTACAATTCACTTAGCAGACGCTTTTATCCAAAGCGACGTACATCAGAGAGAAAGTACAACACAAGCAAGGATCTAGAAAAAAGGGAACAATGTCAGTAAGAGCAAATGATCAGCTTTGAGTCCGATTGGACACACAGGTGCTGACAGACATTACACAGAGGCAAAGCACAACATTGACGGCAGTTCTTGAGAGCTCTAATCAGTATAGAAACCATCTTAAAAGTTATTGTTATCAAACAAAAACAATCGTCACAACCATCATCATCATCATCAATAATATCGAGACCATCATCATTAAGTTAGTAGGTATTCATGAAAGAGCTGGGTCTTTAGCTTTTTCTTAAAGATGCAGAGGGACTCTGCAGATCGAAAGGAGTTTGGAAGTTCAATCAAGACATTGGTTTAAAGCTGACAAAATAAAATAGGGTCACCCTTGTGAAAGAGGTCTTGATCTCAGTGGGTCATTACCTGGTTAAATAAAGGTTAAATAAAAAAAATAAATCATCACCAGAAATGTCATTAGTCATTCCTTATTCATAATATAATAAAAAATAAATAGACTGCTGCTGGTGCTGGAGGACGAGGCTGAGGTGGTGCTTGAGAAGTGGATGGCTGCTGCTGCTGCTGCTGGGCATTGTTTCTATTGATGATTTATGTACATTCTGAAATGAGACGCTCTTTGACACCAGCAGCCACTCTCTGACTGTTGAATCCAAAGGTTTTGAAGCGTAGATCCACCAGTGTAGCGACTGCCAGTGAACTCTCTTTTTCTTTATCTTGTAATCTGTCCACCAAGCACCTGATCAGGTTATGTGCCAGATATTATCCCATGGGGGTGATGGTCTGTGAATATAGTTGCTCTGTTGTATGATTCAACACACGGTAGAGGGGGATGACCTTTGATTCCAAAACTATCTTCTCCTCCTACAGCTGAACAGTTGCCACCTGGAATGCAGCCAGCAGCTGAAATGACAGAAAAATACATATTGTCTGAATGCATAAACTATGTGGTGAATTTGACGTAATTTTTTCTCTGGTTTTCTATTACATACCTTGATGCATTCTCCTGTGTTTTCATGTTGCTGGTTGGTCAGAGGAGTCAGGTCTGTGTTTAGCCCATAAGAACCCGCACCCATTAATACTGATAGGAAAATTATGGGGAACATAGATTAGACTAAATGGACCCCATATAAGACATTTCTGACATTTTTTTTTTAAAATACCACCCACTAGTGTTGGAGATCTGAAAAGTGACATGTACATCACATTGGGCATTTATGGTATATTTTTTTCCACATTTTACAGTAAATCAACTTGATGTTTTTTTTTCACTTTATAACATTGATTTGTCTATTTATTTGTATTTGTACAACATATTTCAAAATTATAACTTTACTTATCTGGTTAAACCATATTTTTTTTGTTTTGCAACCAAAAAAAATTGCTAACTAAATAAATATATAAGACTGCCTCATGTTGGAGGTCTTCTTAACAAGTTACTGTTACTGTATATGACTGAAAAACAGTCAGACTTAAGTAGGAAGCTTGACTAAACATAACGCAAATAAGTTTAGAAACTATAACTTTCATATTATCACACCAAGTTTGAATCAGCCTTATCAGCATTTGTGGCAGTTAAACTGTGACAAAATGGTCATATTATTACAATATTATAACAATTTATTTCTGCAGTGAAGCAGTGACACACATTAGAGAGTGGTGCTTGCATTGATTTGGCAGAATTTGCAAAAGCCACGCTTTCCCCATTTCCCAGGCCAGTGTACAAACTGGTCAATGTGAACATTTTCAGCAAAAACAACACCAACTTTCTTGGGAGGGACGTTTATATAATAATTAATTTTTAGATAGGCTAGAAGCAAAATAAAAGTAATTTCCATGTATGGACTTTATGACTGAGTGGCCTTAAAGAACTTACAAAATAACACATAGGTGTGTTCATGTTTATGTGTAAAGAGCAGCAGACACCTACACTGTTGGCTGCTGTCATGTGGTTTTATTTGAAATCTAACTACTTAAGTATTTATTTTTACAAAAATGGGCTAAACAAACAATTTTAAATGATTTTACATTCATATTAGTTCTTTGAAAGGCATCTCGCTACCTCCCTTTTGAGGCTGGCAACTCCCTGGGGTGTCCCAACTCCACTTGTGGAACTGTTTGATCTAA